CAAAAGATTTGGAAAAGATAAATTTGTAATTGAATTGTGATTATGAAAAGAATGTAACTAAGAAAAACATACACAATCAGCACTTGATTATCCAGCATATAGCTGTTACTTAAAGTAGATAAGAGTTAAAACCAATATTTGGAAACTAGTAAACAGCTCTATCATTCTACATTATTTGCTTGATGAGCAAATCAACAAAGGTAATTTCTTTTGTTTTGTAATTTGTTATTAGCACAAGATTAAAATGCCCTGAAAAAATACATTTTCAACTATATAACATGGCATGTTCACAGGTAAACATAAGTAGCTAAAAACAGACAATTTTGGTTGTTGTCTGAATGCTGTTATCCTATTATCTGTTTCTCTTTTAATTTACATTGTTTTTGTTTGTTTTGTTTTTTGCTCTTACAGCTTAAGAAAAATAGCAGGAAAGGAATATCTTTTCCAAAAGAACTGCTTATATCATTAAATTCATTTGGAATGGACAATGGAATGTTCCCTGCTCTTATCATGATCAAAAAATTCTTCCTTCTCTGCATTTTCATGAGTTTAGCCAGTCACTTTGGGTAAGTTGTCATATGTTTGATTTTTTTTTTAACTGAAGGCCATTTTTTTAACTGATGGCCATATAGTCATATAGACTCTAAGAACATCTAAAGCTCTGTTTCCTGGCAAGAAGAAAAATAGACTTGCTTTTGCTCCACTATAAATGTCAGGGGGAAAGGAACAATTGTTTCCCTGGTGAAATGTTCTGATCCTTACCAGTTTACGGACCAGTCTTACATCCCTTGCAATGCTGCTGACTATGGTGGATATTGAAGTTAAAGGGAGTTTTGTGTGTACAAGAAATTCAGAATCACAATCATAGGGGTCAAGTCAGCCAGGTGCTGAATGTGCTGACCCCCATAGCAAGGCACTAAATTAGATACAAAACTTAAGTCGATGCAGGTCACATGATTTCAATGGGAAAAAGTGCTTAACTTTAAATACTTAAAATTAAGCACTTAAAGTTAAGCACATGAGATAAGCATATGCTTTAGTTCTTTCCTGGAAGGAGTCCAGAATGCTGGGACATTGGTGGGATTGAGCCCCTAGTGTGTTTTGAAATTAAAATTGCTGACACCTTTCTTCTGCTGGATTATTGTATACACGGTGTAGTTGGCGAATGTGCAGGTTGTATTAGGGCAGAGAGAATTCAGTATGCACTCCCAGTTATTAAAATTAATTGTTTAAAAGAGAGCTTGATCCTACTCAAAATGAAAATACAGGTTTCAAAGCTGAGAAAATATTTCTACAGAACATGTTACAAACAATTTTGCTTAACTTTTTTAGGTGTTTACCCGAATCATTATTTTCTGATTGTTACATATAGAAAATATAACTACTATATTTCAACTCTGAAAAAATAATTATCTGTTTTCACTAACTGTACCAGAAATAGCCTATGAAGGTAATTTTACACAGAGCATTTAGCAAGGCTCATAGAAATCTAAAGTGACTATATTTTAGGAAAATATATTCCATACAATTTTGAAAGATAAATTTTCCTTATTGAAACCTATCCAGGGGCACACATTAACAACTCCTCACTTTGAAAAAATATATAGTAAAGACAGATTCAAATCAAGACACATTTCAACATGATTAATTTTTTGAAGAATTTTGAAGAACAGGAGCCAAACTGGTGATTCTTCATAATGCAAAAAACAAGCACCCTGCTTGTGATCTGCCCCATACTTTTAGATCTGAACTTGAAGGCTCAGACCCATTTCCTTTATAAGTCTGTTAAAACATTCAGACCTCTGCTACAAGTCTGCTGAGAAAAAGCAAACAGTTCTAAAACTGTATACTACAAAGATGCCAAACAGCTGAAAAATTAAAATACTAACCTATGGTACACCTGCTTCTGCTATCATTGAAGGCTTTGGCAAAACTCCCATTGGACCGTATTGCAAACAGAATCAGGCTCTTGGATCTAGATTCACAAAACATACCTCTGTGTGGTGATGGTCAGAACCTCCATGCCTAGCTCTTAGGCCTCTGCAATGAATTGGGCAGAGAGAAATTGCCTTAGAATGTGGGATTCACAAAACCCAGCTTAGGTCGCTCTTTGTCTAAGATAGCCAGTGGGAGACATGGAGTTGCTGCATGTGTCTTAAGCATTGCCTTTCTCTCAGAG